CATTTGATTTCTTGACTGCTGCTTCCATGAGTGTTGATAGTTGATCCAAAAAGAATGAAGTCCTTGACAACTTGAATCTTTTCTCCATTGATAAGAATGTTGTTTATTGGTCCAGTGGTGAGGATTTTTGTTTTCTTTACACTGAGATGTAATTCATACCGAAGGATCTTCATCAGTAAATATTTTAAGTCCTCTTCACTTTCAGCAAGCAAGGTTGTATCATCTGCATATCAAAGATTATTAATGACTCTTCCTCCAATCCTGATGCCACGTTTTTCTTCATAGAACCCAGTTTCTTGGATTATTTGCTTAGCATACACATTGAATAAGTATGGTGAAAGAATACAACCTTGTCATACACTTTTCTTAATTTGAAACCATTCAGTGTTCCCATGTTCTGTTTGAACAACTGCTTCCTGGTCCAGGTACAGATTCATCACGAGCACAATTAAATGTTCACAAATACTCATACTTTGCCATGTTGTCCATAGCTTGTCATGATCCACACAATCGAAAGCCTTTGCATAGTCAATAAAACACAGGTAAACATCTTTTTGATAGACTCTGTTTTCAGCTAAGATCCACCGGACATCAGCAATGATATCCCTTGTTCCATAGCCTCTTCTGTATCTGGCTTGAACCTCTGGAAGTTCTCTGTCAATTTATGATTGCATCTGTTTCTGTATTACCTTTAGCAAAACTTTACTCACATGGGAAATCAAAGAGACTGTCGGATGATTTCCTCATTCCGTTGGGTCACCTCTCTTTGGAATGGTCACAAATACAGATCTTTTCCAATCAGTCGGCTAAATAGTTGTCTTCTAAATTTCTTGGCTGAGATGAGTGAGTGCCTCCACAGCCATCTCACTTTCTTGAAAGATTTCAATTTTTATTCCATCAATTTCTGGTGCCTTGTTTTTTGCCAATTCCTTCAATGCACCTTGAACTTCCTCCTTCAGTATCATTGGCTCTTGATCATATGCTACCTGTTGAAATGTTTAAACATTAACCATTTCCTTTTGGTAGAGTGACTGTGTATTCCTTCCATCCTCTCTTGATGCATTCTGCATCATTCAATAATTTGCCTAGAGAATCTTTCAATAATGAAAGTTGAGGCTTGAATTTTTACTTCAGTTCCCCCAGCTTGAGAAATGCTAAGTGTGTTCTTACTTTTTGGTTTTCTGCTTCCAGATCTTTGCACAATTTGTTGTAATATTTGGCTTTATCTTCTCAAGCTGATCTTTGACATTTTCTGTTCGGCTCTTGTTCCTCCTCATTTCTTCCATTTGCTTTAGCATCTCTACACTGGAAAGCCAGTTTCAGTGTCTATTCTGACATCCATTTTGATCATTTTCCTTCTTTCTTGTCTTCTCAATGACTTTTTGCTTTCTTCATGTATGGTATTCTTTCTTTCTTTTTTTAAATTGAGGTTTTTATTGTGGATTGAGTGAAAATTTACAGGGCACATCATCAGTTTCACATTCAACAATTCATATAAACTTGTTTCATTACATTAATTACAATCCCCTCCATATACTATCAGTTAAAAGTATTTCTCTCTATCCACTTTAGCTTATAAAAAACATACAAACAAAAAAAACCAATCAGGCATATATAATAATTTACATCTCCAAAGGGCACATTCTGCAAGTCTGCTCCTGGCCACCAGTTCTTAGTCCTTCTCTTCTTAGTTGATGAATCTAGAGTCCTCAGCCGCTCCCCCTCTCCAT